TACTAAAACTATAATAATACATTTAATACATAAAATAAATCACACAATATATAAATATATATAACTAAATAATCAATATTATTTATTATATATTACATATTACAAATTATAAATAATATAATTTATAACTAAATATACATATAAAATAGTTACATCATATAACTAATTATAATATATACTATAATAATATAATTAAACATATAATACTAAATAAAATACAATATATTATCATATACATATTTAAATATTAATTAAATTAAATATAAATAATAGAACAATATATTTATCAATACATATTACAACAATAAAAATAATATAATAATAAATATTAACAAATAATAAATAAAATTTAAAATCAATATATATTTAACATATAATACAACTATTTAATATAAACATTTAAAATTTATATTTACAAAATATATATTTATAGACAAATATTCAATATATAATAATCTAACACATAATAATATTGTTAATTACTAATAATATATATATATATACTAATCATCATCAATAATTTATAATATATAAATAAATAAACATAAATATAATAATCATATTTATATTCTAAATATCATCATAAATAAATAAACAAATACATAATATAATATAACAATTAATATATACATTACAATACTATTTATATACATATTTATATATAATAAATATATCATTTATATAATATAACAATATATATCATTCTATTCAACTTTAAACAATAATATTAATAATACTATAATAAATTACAAACTATACTTATATAAATTTAATAATATAATATCATCATAAATATTATCATAACACTAAATACCATTATAATATAAAATATTTAAAATTTAAAAATCAATACAAACACACACATAACACTACAATCAACATCCACACAAACACATTCAACACACTCACTAGACACACCAAACTACACACATCACTAACACATCAAACATAAAACACAACTACAAACAAACACACAAATACACAAACATTTCACATAAACACAAAACACACACAAACACACAAAACAGCACACACAAACACAACACACACAAACATCACACAAACACACTAGCAATCACACACACACAACACTAACAAACACGTACACACACACAGACATAACACACAACACACACAAAACACACACAACACACACACACACACCAAACAAAACAAACAATACATCACAACACACACAAAACACATGACATACACAACACGATCAACAACACATCAAACACACAATAAATACAACACAAACACTAGCACGACATATAACACCAGACACACAAGACCCAACAAAAAACTACACATAAAACACCACACCAACACCATCTAGACAATTACTGATCAGGAGCGACTCACACACATTGACATAACAGCACACAAGCCTGACAACCACCCAGTCTCATAGCAAACACATCACCACGAAACACAACACCACACTCACCACGAACACGCACCGACGAGGTCAGCACACCAGTAAGCACATTCACGTACCAAGAGCACCACACACGTTATCTAGAGCCACCATGACAACTCAAAACATACACGCATAAACACACTAAACAACAACGACATACTTAAACATCATAACACATCCCACAATCACAACAAATAACACTACAACAAAATTAACATAACTAGAATATCACGACAAAAAAAGTCACACAACTACACACACACTCAAGATTCACTACACTTACTCTGAACTAGAATTATCTGTCACAGTTCACTGAAACACTCAAACACTACCACACACACACACACAAACAACACAACATCACATTTACCCTCCACAAAAAAACTACATACATAACCCACTCAAATCCCAACCGAAACATCAACAAAAATAAATAGAACACCTAGACTAGAAAAGAGGATGCAGCAAGATCGCGAAAGGGAACAGGAGGGAGCACCGAGAGTTATCTGGATGTGGTGAAAAATACGCCAGAAATTAGCGGAGTAGCGCGGATCAAAATCACCAAGCAGGACCACACCTACGAGGTGAACTAGGATGCGAGATCATAAAACATAGTATGCCCTGAGGATGAGCTAAAGAAGAACAGTAAAGTAATAGGATCCAAAAGTAATATAGGATACAGGGTGAAATAAAGAGTGCTTGACTGGGTGACGCTAGGTGTGGAGGTGAGCTCAGATGCGAGAGGTGACACTGGTCGCGGGAGAGAGCTAGGATGCGGGACTGGTATGAGACTAATTAGCAGGTGAGGGTGAACTACGTTTTGGAAGGGTGAGCTTGGATGCGGGAGGGTGAACTAGGATGCGGGAGGGTGAGCTAGGATGCGAGAGGGTGAGCTAGGATGCGGGAGGGTGAGCTAGGATGCCAGAGGGTGAACTAGGATGCGGGAGGGTGAACTAGGATGCGGGAGGGTGAACTAGGATTTGGCAGGGTGAGCTAGGATGCGAGAGTGAACTAGGATGCGGGAGGATGAGCTAGGATGCGGGAGGGTGAACTAGGATGCGGGAGGGTGAACTAGTATGTGGGAGGGTGAGCTTGGATGCGGGAGGGTGAACTAGGATGCGGGAGGGTGAGTTAGGATGCGGGAGGGTGAGCTAGGATGAGGGAGTGTGAGATAGGATGAGGGAGAGTGAACTAGGATGCGGGAGGATGAACTAGGATGTGAGAGGGTGAGCTAGGATGTGGGAGGGTGAGCTAGGATGTGGGAGGGTGAACTGGGACGTGGGAGGGTGAGCTAGGATGCGGGAGGGTGAACTAGGATGTGGGAGGGTGAGCTAGGATGCGGGAGGGTGAGCTAGGATGCGGGAGGGTGAGCTAGGATGCGGGAGGGTGAGCTAGGATGTGGGAGGGTGAACTAGGATGCGGGAGGGTGAAATAGGATGTGGGAGGGTGAACTAGGATGTGGGAGGGTGAGCTAGGATGTGGGAGGGTGAGCTAGGATGTGGGAGGGTGAGCTAGGATGTGGGAGGGTGAACTAGGATGCGGGAGGGTGAAGTAGGATGCGGGAGGGTGGTAGAATGTGGGAAGGTGAGCTAGGATGTGGGAGGGTGAGCTAGGATGCGGGAGGGTGAGCTAGGATGCGGGAGGGTGAGCTAGGATGCGGGAGGGCGAGCTAGGATGCGGGAGGGTGAGCTAGGATGCGGGAGGGTGAGTAGGATTGCGGGAGGGTGAGCTAGGATGCGGGAGGGTGAGCTAGGATGTGGGAGGGTGAACTAGGATGTGGGTGAGCTAGGATGCGGGAGGGTGAGCTAGGATGCGGGAGGGTGAGCTAGGATGCGGGAGGGTGATCTAGGATGCGGGAGGGTGAGCTAGGATGTGGGAGGGTGAACTAGTATGTGGGTGAGCTAGGATGCAGAAGGGTGAGCTAGGATGTGGGAGGGTGAGCTAGGATGTAGGAGGGTGAGCTAGGATGCGGGAGGGTGAGCTAGGATGTGGGAGGGTGATATAGGATGTGGGAGGGTGAGCTAGGATGCGGGAGGGTGAGCTGGGATGTGGGAGGGTGAGCTAGGATGTGAAAGGGTGAGCTAGGATGCGGGAGGGTGAGCTAGGATGTGGGAGGGTGAGCTAGGATGCGGGAGGGTGAGCTAGGATGCGGGAGGGTGAGCTAGGATGTGGGAAGGTAAACTGGGATGGGGAGGGTGAACTAGGATGTGGGAGGGTGAATTGGGATGCGGGAGGGTGAACTAGGATGTGGGAGGGTGAACTGGGATGCGGGAGGGTGAACTAGGATGTGGCAAGGTGAACTGGGATGCGGGAGGGTGAACTAGGATGTAGGAGGGTGAACTGGGATGCGGGAGGGTGAGCTAGGATGCGGGAGGGTGAGCTAGGATGTGGGAAGGTGAACTGGGATGTGGGAGGGCGAACTGGGATGCGGGAGGGTGAACTAGGATGTGGGAGGGTGACTGGGATGCGGGAGGGTGAACTTAGGATGTGGGAAAGGTGAAATGGGATGCGGGAGGGTGAACTAGGATGTGGGAGGGTGAATGGATGCGGGAGGGTGAACTAGGATGTGGGAAGGTGAAATGGGATTTCGGGAGGGTGAACTAGGATGGGAGGTGAACTGGATGCGGGAGGGTGAACTAGGATGTGGGAAGGTGAAATGGGATGCGGGAGGGTGAACTAGGATGTGGGAGGGTGAACTGGGATGCGGGAGGGTGAACTAGGATGTGGGAAGGTGAAATGGGATGCGGGAGGGTGAACTAGGATGTGGGAGGGAGAACTGGGATGCGGGAGGGTGAACTAGGATGTGGGAGGGTGAACTAGGATGTGGGAGGGTGAACTGGGATGCGGGAGGGTGAACTAGGATGTGGGAAGGTGAAATGGGATGCGGGAGGGTGAACTAGGATGTGGGAGGGTGAACTAGGATGTGGGAGGGTGAACTAGGATGCGGGAGGGTGAACTAGGATGTGGGAGGGTGAACTAGGATGTGGGAGGGTGAACTAGGATGTGGGAGGGTGAACTGGGATGAGCTTCGTCACCTTCACAAATACAGTCACGCGTCGCTTAGCAACAGAGATACGTTCTGAGAAGTGCGTCGTTAGGCGATTTCGTTAAGCGAATGTCAGTGTGTACTTACACAAACCTACATGGTATAGCCTACTACAAACTTAGGCTATTTGGTATAGCCAATTCTCCAGGGCTACAAACCTTAAGGGCCATGATGGACGAAACACGTTAATCAATGACAAGGGAAAATAATGCTATCAAGAGAAGTGAACACACAAAACGACATACTCTTTTACGGTTAACTTTCTTTTAAGTAGAAAAAAGTACATATACTTTAGAATAACGATAAAAATTACAGTATAGTATTATTATTATTATAATCATGGGGAGCGCTAAACACGTAGGATTATAGAGTGCCTGGGGGGGGGGAGATGGAAGGTATTCAGGCTCAATTCAGGGAACCGGAGCACAGATCCAATTCCCTAGATCAAGAACCCCTCACCAGCGACAAGGACCCTCCCTTGAGGGGTACAGTATAGTAAATACATAAACCAGTAACATAATGCGTTACGCTACGACATCACTAGGCAACAGGAATTTTCAGCTTTATTATTATAATCTTATGGGACCACTGTCGTATATGTGGTCCGCCGTTAACCGAAACCTCGTTATGCTGCGCATGACTGTATAATAAATAAAATAACATTGATTAAAAACTACAAAAACAGGACTCGTAATATACTGTACAAGGAACATTCACCCTTGTCACCAGAGGATCAAATCTTTTCGCTGATATAACAGGCGATTTTTTTTAACCCCTTTGCATTGAGGGGATCCGAAACACATGACGTTCCTTACCACATGGCGTTTCTGGCCAATGACCCGGCTGCCGGTACCTTGAGCCGGCCTGGCTGTCGTGTTATTTCAAAACATTCCCATAATAACTATACCACAAGTCAAGTTTCTTCCGCTGCTGTTACTTACCGTGACAAAAGACGATCACAAGCGGAAATGAGAGAGGAGCCGCCTCCGTGAACTGGTTATATAATGAGAAGTTACTTGTTCGGATTACTAGAAACAAAAACAAGATGTGCAGTGAAAGTTTTGTTTCACAGAATTGGGATCTAGAGGTAAAAAACATAGAGATATTCCCATAAGCTCTACAGAGGTGATTCAACACAATGCAACAGACTACTACACTATACAGTAGATTACTCCACTTCACAACAAATTGCTACACTTCACAACAGACTACTCCACTACATAAGACTACTCCACTTCACAAGACTACACTACACAACAGACTACTCCACAACAGACACTCCAAAACAAATTCCACAACTAACTATTCCACTCCACAACAGATTACTACACATACCTGGACCACTACAGTGTAGTTCTCCTGGGTGAAGATTGGGTGGTTGTCGTTGACGTCGCCAATGATGAGCTCCACCTGGGTGGTGGCAGCGTTGGACGGGGTGCCCAGGTCTCGTGCGCTCACTCTCAACACGTACTTACCAACCTGAGGTGAAGGACAGTATTGTCATCAACACAAATAGATAACTGGACATTGTTTTTTTTTACATTATGCAAATCCAAATCTCTATAAATATTACTGCTCAAAGGAATTAAGGTGCGCCGTGGAATATTAAGGGTATCGAACTGCTGAACGCAATATGTGACAAGCATTATAAGATTTTTTACCAAATCTGTTACCAGATCTTAGCGTTGTGGTAAGCCAGCTGTTGCCCTAAATTGCCTTGAACTTTTTTTTTTTTCAAGTGATTTACCTTTTCCCTGTCGAGTTTCTTCAAGACAGTAACGATGCCAGTGTCGTGGTCGATATCGAAGCAGTGGTCGTCGTTACCGCCCTGAATACTGTATCTGACCAAGCTGTTGACCCCGGCGTCAATGTCACTGGCAGAGATCTGCAGGTGTGACATCAAGAAAAAAATTTCAGTAACAAGACCACTTAGAATTACTGTTTATCTTCAGTAATTAGATACTTATATTTGCATAATAACTAATTAGTGGTCAATGGCGAGAGAAGCTCAAGATGGGCCAAACTGGGTGTCTTCTGCCGTTAGTGAGCACAAGACATTCCACCAGAGGTTACCTGTATAACACTGGCGCCCTGCAAAGCGTCTTCCCTGACGGTGGCGGTGTAGGAGGGCAGCGTGAACACCGGAGCATTGTCATTGACGTCTGTAATGGTAAGATTGACCAAGGCTGTAGCGGACAGCGGCGGTGTCCCTCCGTCAGTAGCCACTACCGTCGCCACAACCTGCTGTACACGCTCGAAGTCAACCGGTGACCCGATGCTGATGACGCCTGTAGCGAAAAAAAAATCATATTTGTTTACTTTGTGTCTGGGTATTTAATGGGGCCTGTCTTTAAAGTCTCGTACGTAGACAGATTTTTTTTTTTTGAGCATAAGTACTGAAGCCCGTGTTCTCACACACTCCATACAGATAAGCAAAATGAGAATGATTTTTCTCATACGAAGGAAAGAGAGGTAGTGGAAGAGAGAAAAGCAGACTACATTTGTATGTGGAATAGCAGAAAGGCAATGAATGATGTATAATTCTATACGAGGAAGAGGAAAATGAGGTGTTACAAGTTAACAAACCAGAGGTGTCACTCACGTATACATGCACAAAGACAAAGCTACACAAGCCTAAGAGTAGTTTTGCTACCTTCATATTGCACATACAGGTTATGTTACAAATGTTACTGAAACACATTATAGGTCCAAGGAACTGAACTCCAAAGCTCTTTAAGCAAACTGACAACGTTAATAAACTACTGACAATAATCAGAGGTTGGAATATTTAAAGTAACATTTCATTAGGGAAATGTGTGTTCCCCTGATGCACTGGAACGTTTTATGAGAGAATAACAGAGTATTCTCCAGGCTCATAAGACTGTTTGTCCAAAGATTTTGCTCTTGGAACATAACTTAGAGATAGATGAATAAGACTTGTGGAACAGCTAAGTATCTTTACTGCCCAAACATTTCGCCTGTTCAACAAGCTTCGTCAGTCGAGATAGAAAGGTGACGTAAATGCTGGAGATAATATAATGATAACTCAGAGAAGAACTGCACGAAATCTGCGAAAAGACAATTTCTATAAAGTTGCTGCAGATCATACCAGTCTTGGGATGTATGTGGAGGTACTTCTCCCTGGTTGTGTGCTGGATGGAGTAGGATATCTCTGCGTTGATGCCGATGTCTCTCGAGGTAGCCATCACCCGGACCACCTCCGTGCCCACCGCGGTGTTCTCAGCCACCGTCGTCTCGTGCAGCTTCCTCACGAACTCTGGTGCGTTGTCGTTTACGTCTGCATCACGTACAACGACAACGCGTCATAACTCTTTAGCAATAATAATATAATATATTTACAAGTACATGTACATGGTATACAGACGTAGTTGACATCAGTGATATACTACTATATAGAAAGCCGCTTGTTATGCTGAGCATTTCGGGAAAATTAGGTCAGTTTCGTTCCAGGATGCGACCCACACCCGTCGACTAACACCCAGGTACCCATTTTAAACTGATGGGTGAACAGAGACAGCAATGCGTCTTATGGAAACACGTTCCTAATGTTTTCCAGCAGTACCGGAGCAGATTCGAACTCCAGACCTCGGTGTATGAGCTGAGTGCTCTAGCGATCGAATTATGGGACACCGTACTAGTTAATTTGTTAGGTTGAAAATCTATCGGTTGTACGTAAGTTATTAAAACTGCATTTCTTCACACAAACATCAAGAATACTTTTTTTTTAAATATGCTGTCTGCCAGCTTAGTTCATATTTCGCGCAACTCAGGTGCTGCCCTCTATAGCCAGGCCTCTCGGTGGGCATGCCAGCCTGCCTGCCCTTGCCTCTGCCTCACTCACACAGCGGCCTAGCAGCAAGACACAAGTACTAGTAGCTCTCTCTCGTGGGATGGCCCTTCCCGGGCCATGGGCACAACACAAGCCTGTGTACCCACCACGACTTAGCAATAAAGTAAGAAGCCTCCGAAGACGTATATCATTAACCACCCGCTTACAGCCTACCAAATAAACCCATTAAACATTGGTGGCAGCGGTGGGATTCGAACCCACGCCTCCGAAGAGACTGGTGAGCGTGAGTAGGGCGAGCATGGGCAAGGTGAGGAACAGCCACATCCTCTCCTCCTCCCCCACCCACAAACACGTGGAGAAGCTCACACTGGACGCAGAAATCACCTACCTTATGGAGAATTATAGTTTATGCGACGAACTAATGCAATACAAACCACTAGTTCACGCTACCAGCAAAGTTATGTGATTTTAATGCAAAATTACTGACAGTTTCTTTTCTTTTTAGATGTAATTTTTTTCAGTATCAATTTTTTCATAATCATTGTTGTCTTTCACCTCTTGATGCTGTTATATACAGAAGTGCCCATATATACTGCTTACTATACTTAAAATACTTTATATAACATGAGTATTAAGTTAGCAAGGATGAATGGGTTCATTTTTTTTGTTAAATGTAATTCAGAATACGATATACATTGAGGTTAATATAGTAGAGTATAACTAGTTAAGTCAATATTTTTGGCAGTACCTTTGAGTTAACTGATCTAAATTAGGAAAC